GGGATTGCGGGACTGGCACTTCTCCAGCACGCGCCTCGCTAACGCCACCACTCCTCTCGCCCCTCTCCTTGCAGATCTGGGGAGCCGGGGAGACGTGGTCAGCGTGAAGAAATCCGTGGGTCGTAACAAGCTCCTGCCCCAGGGGCTGGCTGTCTATGCGTCGCCGGAGAACAAAAAGATGTTTGAGGAGGAGAAGAAGGTGAATTGGCATGACAGGGATTCTCTGAGCCCGGCTGGGGCGTTTTTGGCCTGACCACACTTTGAAATCAGGAGATCTTAAAGGAGGAGTGGAGATTTCAGTTTAAAAGGGTCGGTTGCTCTTTGGGATCGTCCCTGTCTCCCTCCACCCATGAGTTTGTGGTTTTGTGGGGTGAGATCTGCTGATCACCTTAGAAATACGGTCCCACAATGAGCCCCGCTCATTAATAAATTCCTTTGCGGAGCGCCGAAGGGTTTGCGACAACAGGAGAGCCCTCCGGGCCTCTGCTGAGCCGCCGTTCCCCCAGCAGCGTGCAGGCAGGCTGCCCGGCATGTGGCGTTGCCAAGCGTGCCTTTCATTTCTTCTCCTCCATCCTCTTTTCCTCACAGCTGCGCCAAGAAGGGAAGCTGGAGGTGCTCCAAACCCAGAGCGGGGAGAAGGTGAGCGGAGGAGCGCCGGCGAGTCCAGAGTTGTTCCAGGGAAATCCGTGAATCCTGGAAAGCGCAAAGCCTCAGCAGCTGCCTACACCTGTGTGCTTCCCGGTGCTGGGTTGAGGTCCCGTACCCCCAGCACCCCCCTGCTTGCTGCCCAAATCCCTCGGGACCAGGCTGACTTCCCACACGGAGCGTCGGGAGCGCAGCGCTCTCCCCGACACCTTCCTCCCTGCCTTTACAGACCATCAAGTTCCTCAAGAGCTGCCGCCTCGAGGTGGGCATGAAAAACAACGTCAAGTGGGAGCTGAACAACGAAATCGTGGCTCGCCACTTCCTCAAAAACGTGAGTGGTTCTGGCCGGCCTTGCCCACAGGCGGCTCCACGCCGGGCGGGAGCCCTTTGCTGGTGCCGGGAGCTCCCGTGTGTGAGCAGAGCCACAGGAGCCGGTCGTGGGGGCCCAAATCCCGGGGGGGGATGTTGCCGAAGGGGTTTGAGGAGCCAGCGGCGCGTCCGCGGCTGGTTTGGTGCTCAGCCGAGGCGCGTGCTGAGAGGAGCTCAGCAGAGGGTTTAAGACCTTAAAGGGATTAAGAAAGGAAGACGATCACTC